TAAATTCGAAAAATTAACGACCCAGGTTAAATTTGGGGGGGGGGGGTTGCATTTTTCCTGAAGCCTCTTTTTGCTACTGAACATAAGATTATTTTGACAACTTTGCCCTATTTTTTCATTTTCTCCTCTGTGACTTCTGAAATCAGGATACATTATGCAGTAGCAGAAAAAACCTCAGAACTATACAATGTCGCTTCTCCCCAGTATAAGCTTTGAAAAGTTATGGAATAGAAAACAAAAGCCTCTAAAGTTAAAAGAAAAACCCTTATAAGACTCTGCAGCACCTATGCACGTTATTTGGTGCCAAAAGGGTGAACAAAAATAGAGAATTCCTGAAAAGTTGGGATGTTTTCTCATATTTATTTGGTGATATAACTATATGTATTTAAAATATTTCTTCAAGTTCTGTTTTAGAAATACATATTTTGTTGAAAATTCCAGCATTCTAGTTACATTGTTGTATTTTCATTTTTCACCCTAGACTTTTCTATTTTTCAGCTCTCCTGACCTATTTGACCAGGTAGCTTTCTAGTTTTTCAGATCAACCACACCATCAGGCTGGCTGCTTTCACGTTCCTCTGCAGAGCCACAAGACATTTGACAAGAAAAGTATTTCAAGGTAAACTCTCAAGTACTGCACTGATCAGCTTAAAAAGCATGGCCCTCAAACCACTGATTAAAATTTAGTATGTGTCTGAAGCATGGTAGCTAATTCTCTCTGGTCACACTAATGTAGTTAATGTCTATAGCAACTTCAAACCACAGGCTTCCTGCTATGGGACACTGGATATGTGAGTGTTTCCTGTCTGTGGACAACAGAGTGACTTTTTATCAGATTTTGCTCAGAAGGCTAGATGCTTTAGAAAGAATAATAATCAGATATAAAATTCTGGCAGCAAAGCAGTAAAACTCCTGCTGCATCTCTCTCCTCCAAAAGAATTAGTCTGTAGCACCTTCTACTAGTATTGAAATGGAGCCAGTTTTTTCAGCAGCAACAGTTATAGCATGAAGAATACCGTGTCTGCACACCAGGTAAGTGATAGCTTACAAAGGTGGGGACAGTTAATGTCAAACTGTTACCTGACAACAGGAAAGCCCAGGGGACCGCTTGGCAAGGAAAGGGCTCCCCAGATGAGACATGGCCATCTTTGTGTTCATCTGATATGATCCACTGAAGTAAATGAATGCTCCTGTTCAAAAAAATAAAAATCAAATATGGGAAATATGCAATGCTCCAATGGCAAATTGCTACCTAAGAGAGGTAACTATGCTCCGTGAGGCACATAAAAGCTTATTCATAAATGTAAACAAGCTTTGCCATCAGTTCAGTCTCTGTGGATAACAAGGACAGTCTTGTAACAGGCTGCAACAAACAGCACCTATGTAAGCAGAGATAAAATAGAATTGCTAAACACTCCTGACTCTTTCCTCTGCAGGAAAATTAACATGACTGAGCCCAAAGATGAGGAAAGAAAGAGAAGGAAAAAAGAGTATGTGGGCAGCCATTGCTAAGGCTACTGTGTAATGGTGCCTGCAAGCACTTAAACTGGAGGAAGTAAATACAGAGCCCTGCAAAGGAAGTTCCGATGTTGCTTCTGTGAGGGCTTTACTTTGCAGGCCCACTAGGTGTGTTGTTTCACCTATCTGCTTCAGGCAAAAAACCTTCATCCTCCAAACACTACAATTATTTCCCATCACCTTCACATGGTGCCTGTCTGCTTTCCACCCAGGCTGGCAAGAGCAAAGGGACTGCAGGAGCTGCAAACATCGAGAACTCTGAAGATCAAACAGCATAGACCTCAGCTGGCATCCCTAAAGGACACATTTTAATTGGCTTAAATAATGTTTCAAACAGAATTTAGAACAAAAATTAATTTCCTTTAGGGTACAGTATTCACTCTCACTGTACCCCAGCCAGTTTTAAGCATGCTAACAATGTTGCAGACCATGGGAGCCAATGGAATAAGCTATATTTTCTCATGGGGTCCACAGACTTGACATTGTTGTCTGTGCTAGTGGGGATGAAAGCTTAATTAAAGATCTAATCTGAACTCTGGCAAACGAACTGCCTTTGGATTTCAACTACAGCAGATGTGCTTCAGACAAAGGTAGGGAAGGATAAACATCTTCAAGGGGCCCTAAAGCAGCATATTTTGAATGCCGTCAGTGCTGCCTTTGCTGAATACTGAGACTTTTTCATGAAAGTCTATGCATAGCAACACTAAAGGCTCAGTCTTGTTTGTGCATTGATATTACACATATTGCCTTACATCTTGGAAAATCAGCTATTGTGCTGCCACAGTCATACTCTTTAGCCATTTATTTCCCATGGATACATAATGCGGCAGAGGGTTAGGTCCAGCGCCACATGAATAATCACATCGCTTTAGCAAGACTGGCACAAAGAGGTGACCGTTACAGCTCCTTGTACAAACAGGCGTGCTGCGCTCCACAGCATGAGGGAAGCTCCCCTCATCGGAATGCAAGGGTACTTCAAAGGATCCTCTTGTAATTTGCAGCTGAGGCTCTACAGCAGCCTTGTTAAGATACTCATTAATCAAAATTTGCTGCTGCCCTCCCCAGGTAAGAGGAGAGACGAACACTCTGTGATACCAAAAGCAACTGTTGCAACCTGAAAGACCTTGATTTAATGTTGGCAAAAACTTGCTTGTATTCTGGAAAACTAATTCTAAATGTGGCTGTAAGCAGTCATAGTGATGGATGGGTATAAAACCACCTCAGAAAGACCTCTGAACTAGCTTATATGTGCTTGAGAGGTGCTGCGTGGGAACCTACAGATCTTCTTGAGGCTTCAACCTACAAGCAACATACGAAGGTGAGAACCTAATTTGTAATGATTCAAGTATCAAAGCAGTTTAAGTGCAGCAGCACATAGCTCCATATGGGCTAATTTAACATGCTGCCTAGGCTGCAGAGCAGATGTTTCTATCAGCAGCCTTCATTATGACCACATTACACCTCAGAACTCACCAGCACCTAGAATAACCCACATGGGAAAGACACAAGCACATCAGTGCCCACCAGAGATTGGAGTTTGCAGCTGTGACACAGTAATGTTTGCAGACAACACAGTAGTTCAGATCCAGTGCCATTCTACAGAGCCAATAAAAATCAAGTAGCTGAGGAGAAAGTAAGTAACAATTTTGGTGCACTTCATCACTTTGGGGCCAACGGAAAAAAGGCACATGATTGTGCTGTTCGAGTTATTATACAGCATGAACAGACATACCCCACTGGAGTTCACTCTAGTGAATTTTAATCCTGGAATTTCTCTACCTTTGAATGCTGTAGGTGGACTACTTAATATTTCACGTTCTTTTAACATGAACATGGGAGAGAAGTGTGAAGGTCTGGCTGTAAGATAATATAGATTGTTTAAAAAAAGATTTTAAAGTAATCTAATCTCCACTGGAAGCAGTATAATAGATACATTTTAATAAAACCAAAGTCACAGAATATTTACCAATATTACTTGACAATGAAAAACATGCTAGGCAGTTTTAGTTTTATGCACTGTGCTGTAATAGCATTTTCATTTTGGAAAAATACTTAAAACCAGCCCTCTACTGGAATAGACCTTTTCCGGCTGAATGCATTGTATGAGAACTATGGGCTGAAGGAAGAACAGTTCAAAGCATATTACACTCACTCTATTTTTCCCAGACAAAACTGCTTAACTTACCTGCATTCTACAAAAAGCTACAGTGATATTTTGCCCAAATAATATTTTCAAGAATGGTCCCTGTGTGAATATTGGTTACAAAGCTGCTTATGATATGCACAAACAAATTTATGCCAGTTCAAAGGTCGGCATCCCAAAACAATGAAGGCTGTGTCAAGTCTCATACCTCATTGATTGTCCCAGTAGAAAATGAAGATTACAAAGGTGTAGTAACCAAATCACATCTAAGAAAGAGCATCCTAAAAGTCTAGCTTTCTGTAATATTATTTATGTTATATACTTACTATGTAGCATCCATTTCAAATCAGTTTTTACTATCAGACTGTTACCATTTACAAGTAGAAATATTCAACACATGAGGAAAATAAAAGAAATCTCACCACATCCAGTATTAGTTGTACAGTCTCTGCCAGGAAGTTTCCTGTCAAGGGCAGCCTGTTCTTTCATTATGTTCCAATCTGCATCACCTATGCTTAGTGGCTTCCATCCACAGAAGTCAGTCTCAAAATCACATATAGTGTAATTAGCTGTTTTGAGAACAACAAGATAACATTCAGCTAAATTTGATACAACAGTTAAATGCCACAACTATAACTATTTTGTATTTGTACGTACAAAGAGTCTTAAAGAAACACTAATATGCTTCACTGACATCTGCATCTTTCCAGATGGAAAAAAAAATCTAGAATATTAATAAAAGTTCAGGCAGTTCCCTTTTTAAACTCAGAACCACAAAGGAAACCACCTATAAGAGAATAAAATATATCATATGAAATACGAGACCTGTACATATGTTGCTGATAGATTACGAAAATAATATTATATATTCGTAAAAGATGAATTCTATGGGAAAGTTAATTATGCATATGTGGGGAAAAAAGATCATATTTATTTAGTGCTTTAAATATACTGAAAGTAAAGATTAATTATAGCTTCCTCTTAATTTATTTTTGAAAATGAGATTTAAGTTTATGAATTATTTAGGTCTCCCAGAAATTTTTATTGCAAAGTAGAAGACCATTTTCTCAGTTTGTATGGATTAGACCATTTTAAACTCTATAATAATCTCACACACTCTCATTTCTAGAGCACAATTAATAATTTTGATAAGAAAATAGTATAATCTGAGTTTTCTTTCCTTGTCCAAAACAGCTTTACAAAGCGCTATGTTTAACACTTTGGGTCACTTAATACAACTGTAGACATCACTTTTCAACTTGTCACTTTCCAGACTTCATGGGACATTTATCGTATCATATCAACCTCAGACATGATTATACATACTACTCCGATTTTCAGGTTGTACAAAACCAAAATGAAATACACCTTGGTTGAAACACCATGGCAGTAAAGTTCGACAATAAAGGTCTTCCTGGTATAAAAAGATTATGTAGCAGTTAAATTTTAAGGAACAAAATAAATCAAAAATATCAGCATCTTTTATCTGGATTCATCACATATATTTAAATTCGATGAAGCATGCTTTCCTGTTTAGTGCAGTATATTAGTTAAACATGAAACTTGGTTAACTTATTTAATTACAGAATTCTCATGCTTTCTACAAGATGCCTTTTTGATTAAATTTCAGTTCCTAACACATTAAGGTAGAGGATGCAAATTGATATCCAAGACTAAGCTGTTTTGTTGTAGGGTAATTAATACTATGCCTAAGCATTGTGCTTTCCTTACTAAACAGTATTGAGAGAACCAATGTGACACATAAAAGCGAACATTCTTTGCTTAAACATCGCTTTCCTCTGGCTTCCCTAAAACCTGCAAAAGGTCTTCTGTGAAGAAGCTGACTGCAGTGGCTGCATAGTAATGTCCAAAAAGACATCACTAAATAACCACGTAGACACAAAGAACTTACTCTGTTGTATACTAAGCAACCAAAACCCTGTTCCTGGATGGAAGCTGCCAGGCCAAAGTTAAAACAATAATTAAAACATGAAAGAAAAGTCAAGATGGCACTAACGATTAATGTTTTACAGCTCAGTAAGGTATTTAGCATAGTAATTAAAAAAAAATATTATTTTCATTTAACTAGAAAATAATAATTACTGGTTCACTTCAGACCATGAGCAGAGTTGTTACTGCAATATGTGAAGCAACATCTTTAAAGTGCTGATGACACCAAATCTGCTGTCATTAATACAGCTCAATACCAGCCTCAGTGTTTTTCATTGGCTTATACTGAGGAGCTGACTGTCATGTCTACATTTGGAAACCATATACTAGAATAATTAATGAAGCAGCAAGACATCACTGCCCTTGATGGTCAACAGTAAGAGAGAAGTCTATGAAATCTTCATTTCTTATATCTGTAGCCACTAGTACAACTTCTTCTAACACTGTGGATTTAGAAAGAAATGTATAAATACCATCTTTTAGGTTGAATGTATGTCCTGGTTTCAGCTGTAACAGGTATTTTTCTCCTTCCTAGTAGCTGGTACAGGGCTGTGTTTTGCCTTTAGTCTGAGAACAACGCTGATAATACACAAATGTTTGAGTTGTTGCTAAGTAGCACTTACCCTGGTCAGGGACATTTCAGTATCTCGTGTTCTGCCACTGGAGAGGGGCACAAGAAGCCAGGAGGAAGCAAAGCCAGGACACCTGACCCAAACTAGCTAAAGGGGTATTCAATACCACAGCACATCATGCCCACTATACAAACTGGGGGGAATCACCCAGAAGGGCAGATCACTGTTGGGGTTGGGCTGGGTATCGGTCAGCAGGTGGTGGGCAATCGTACTGTGCATCACTGCTGGGATGGTTTTGTTTGGTTGGTTTTTGGTTGGTTGGTTGTTTTTTTTTTTTTGTTTCCCCTTTTAGTTTTATATTCTCTCCCCTTGGTATTTTCCTTAGTAGTATATTTTAGTTATTAAACTGTTCTTATCTCAGCCTGTGGGGTTTAGATTCTTTCAATTCTCCTTCCCATACCACTCAGAGGGGGAAAGGAGAAGTTAAGTGAACAGCTGTGTGGTTCTGAGTTACCAGCTGGGTCTAAACAACAACAATGTACAAGCTGTAGGAAAAAAGAAAAAAAACTAAAAAACAAAAACCCCAAAAGAGACCAAATTACTTTGCTCAGCAATTTTTTCGAACTTTATACAAATCTGAACACAACTATATAGGTAGGAAGAACATTCACAGTGTTGTGGTTTTGGGGTTTTTTTGGTGGCAGAAGGGGAAAGAGGGGCAGGGAATGCTGCTCCAGTTCACTAGATGTGATAATGTTGGCTACGTTTAAGATGCTACCTGTTTTTTTTCCACTGTACTTGTTGCTTAAAATGACAAGCTCTATACAAACGTCCAGTCATGCAGACACTGAGCCAGAATCGCTTACCAAGACTAAGTGTTCCACCATATCTAGTTTCTGGAAGTAGTACTTCTTTTTTTTTTTTTTCTTTTTTTTTTTTTTTTAAGTATTGATATGTCAGGGAACACCAAAGCTATAATTTGAATAAAATTCAACTCTCTGGGTTTGACTTAAATTTTATCTCTACTTAAGTCTAAAAACTTAGGAGTGCTTGAAAAATGTTTAATCAAGCTTAAAAAAAAAGTTCTGTGCTTTGGCTGAAACTCAAATCCAAGAGAGAATTTCTCAGTGTATTTTTTCATTGCTCAAATATTAATAAACTTTGAGAAATGCTCCTTTCCCATCAAAACAGTGCATAATTTTTATGATTCGCAGCTTTTCATCTACTTTTTTATTTGAACCTTCAAGTAATTATGGGGAATGCTTCACTATCCACAGTTGGAAAATAGGTGACTGCACAACCTATATTTTTTGAGGAGTCAGTTAGGTAAGAGGAGTCATACTGCAGTTATGTAAGTTAAACAGACATAAAGCATATTTCTGGTACATTATGTCTGTTCCTACTGCACCTCTTACCATTTCATCTATTTATAATTCAGCAAAATAGACATGAAATTAGAAAAGAAACAACAACCTGCATTCATAGTAATAACAAGCCAAATTTGAAAAATAACTTTCTTTTTTCATGTGGGTATATCAGTATACTTCAACTAGTGAAGGAGTAAATTATTACACCATTTCAGCAAAAACAATGACTCTGAGATGCAACCAGAAAGAAAAAATGGTCCCTAAACATGTTTCCTTGAATTTCAAGAAATAAATAGAGCTTACTAAAGCCATAAAATACACTGGAGAAATTTTTCAATTAACATGAACCATTTTTCTACATGTTTTGTTTTTAAAAAAGAAATGGGCAACAAAGCACATCTAACAAGAGCATTGGGAAGTTAAATGGAAATGTTTTGCCTTTGACTAGCTTATTCTACACCTATTCCAGCTCCTCTTGATTCTCCCGGGGGGAAACAAAACAATGTAGTCATGTTTGCTAGGCTGGGTTACCAGCCAATTAATATTGCCTCGACATTGCTAGCCTGCAAGTGGATGAAGCTTTTCAGTCCTACTCTGGCAGCATGATCAATGAACACAAGAGGGAACACTCAGTTTGTCTCTCCATCAAATTAGTGTTTCCCTAATAAATATGGAATAAGAAGGGCTCCTACCCTCACTCAGTGTGACAGCATCCAAGCTCCTATGGAATTTGAAGCAGAAACTACCTGTATGGTCAGCGACCAAAGCACCTCTGTGTAATTACTTTGTCATTGTAATTTCTGACTAACATTAAATGTCATTTTGGGAAAGGAAAGAGTTACACCTATACCTTCTTACTAACTATCCATACAAATTCCCTACCAGTTTGTGATTATTTTTATTTATTTAGGATTTGTTAAAGGATTAATTCAGAAAGATTGCAGTCCATAGGTCATCTAGCCTGAAATTCTCTATGTCATAAGTCATTAGACAGATCTCTCATAACACCCTAGTTCCTTAGGGTGAGATGGCCTCATCTTAAACTACTCAGAGTTAAGAGACTCATGTTAAAAGAATCTCGTGTTGACCCTGGGTCTGCAGAGGGCGTACTTTGAAGTAATTTTTTTGGTGAAACACAAAGGCAATGTTATGCAGCGTTCATAAGCAACGAAGTCCATGAAAATAATATGGGTGTAGCTTCTTTTTCTCCACATGTACATACAAGATTAATGGACAGACATTGACAATTTGAGGCAATTAATGTGCCACAGGAAACATAAGTATGTAGCAAAACAAAAGTTTTAGACTAAAAAAATACTCTTTCTTCTTTAAAGTTGAATGGCAATTAAAAGATTTGCGTATGTGTTCATTTGCTCTAGAAGGTTTCAAGGATTTGCAATTTTAAATTGCTATACTGCAAATTAAATGCAGTAAAAGCTACACGCTATAAAATTATACATTTCCTTCATTCTACATATTTTCTATTAATTAATTGTACAAATACTATGGAAGTCTGAGAATATGTAAACTAATATTGGAGATGCAAAATTAAAGCCAAAAGAGTTAAAGACAGCTGTTTTAAGGAGAGTTCTAATATGTCTAAATGAAATTATGTAGTGTTCTTTCAGAAACACCTGTAGGATGTGTTTCACTTTCTCTTTTTTAATATAGTAACTATGCTTTGATAACTTATCAGTCACTGCGAAATATGAAATTTAGAAGTGATCTCGAATAAGTGATATCAAATAAGACATAATGAAAATACAGAATTTAATACTAAAAACATTCATTTCAATTTTTCATTTCTTTAGATGCATTGACTTCAACAAAACTATTCAAATAAATTTGATTATTCACATGTGTTTCCTAGACAAGTTCCTAATTTTTGAGACTTTGAAGTCTCATATACTTAAATATATATTTATATAAACAGGCAGAAATTAAACAGAAAGTTTAAGAAACATTGTAAAACATAAGTATTTGCTCATGTAAAATGCATTATTATCAGACCTTCCATGCCAAGTTAACATGAGCAAAGAGTAACAAAAATAAATCCTTTCCAACTATAATGAAGCAAAGAAAATCCTTCAAAAAGAGGGAAATCCTTCACATTGCTAAGTAACAGCTGTCTGCCTTCATTTTCATTCTGTATAGAGATCTGTCAGCTCTTTCAGTACATTGAGAGTACTTCACAACAGGAAACTATTGAGGATGTATCCAAGGACAGATGCTAACATACCTAAAAGAATAGAAGCTAAAATGTGCATTATTGTACCAGATAGGAATTTTTACTGAAAATTACTGTGAATAGATGTAGTGCACTCTGAATATTACAGAGTACAATTTCCAAATCATATGGACGGTGTACATAATGGAAGGAAAAGAACAAAAGACAGAAACAAAGGATGACTTTTTCTTTAAGTCTCTTTTGTTCAAGACCACAGAAAGTGTCAGAAACGTGAATCTTTTACACCAACCAAACTGCTGATGAGCTAAATTCCACCTTTAGGGTCCAATTCCCTGAAAAGGAGTATGTGAGGTATCCAAGACGATATTAGCCATTAAAACAAGCCAACTTTAAAAAACAATTATTGTTATCTTGAGGATGGCTATTTTTTTCTTTTCTTTCTTCTCAGACAGTAGTCAGAGCAACATGCAACATAGGTTACTTATATTGTAGAAAATTACCTTTTTCCACCCTTCTTTGAGGGAATGAGTATTTTTGTGCACTGCACCAACAAAAAAATACATCTTCATCCTGTGACTGCCTCAGCAGAGTGAAGCACACAATCCCCATGTCTCAAGTTCAGCTGAGTGTGTTATTTTCTTTAAATTGAAATACACTAGGAGTTAGTGGTAAATCAGTGCCACATGGTAAACCAAGTTAACTGCAGAGGCAGCAGCACACAGAGAAGCACTAGGCAGTGCTATCAAAGAAGGTTTTGTACTGATTGGGCCTTCTGTCAGTCCTTGTCCCAGCACCCTAATTCTGGAAATGCCACAAAGGATAGTGCTGAGAACTCTGAGCTAATCTGATTGTCTTCTGCCTACTTTCCAGTTTTTCTGGCACATCCACATGGGCATAACAAAAGCAATATTTCAAGAGTAGTCCCACCATGATCTTTGTTTAACTCTAAAATACTGGCTACAACAAGGTTATGTTGTCATCTTTTGGTTATCTGGTCCCAATGTCCAGCATCTGAGGCACAGAGGTAAAATTAGAAAGTATAATGCATTGCGTACAAATATAATTGCCTGTGCTTAGAGTTATCTTTATTTTTACTTTGTGTAGTACTATTAACAGCTACCCTTCAACTGGGACAATTGTTAATCCTCCTTTTAAACCTAAAATTATTCTTCTATATTCCTAGTCATTATTCACCACAATTCTCACATCATTACTGAAGTGGGAACACTAAGTCGCCGAGAAATAAAATTCAATTTATAAAGTGCTATTCACTTTCATTCAATTCCTCCTCCTAAAGAACGTAAGAGGACTCTCTGTACTCCTACCTGCAAACACGCAGAGCTAGCAACATAGGGTCAAGTCTTGTAAAAAAGCAAAATAGATCTCAGAAAAGGACCCCCTATACATATCAATGTTGTCTTAGATTTCACACAGAGATAAAACAATATAAACTTACTATTTAAAAGGTTACTTCAGCATTTACACATATTGTTTCAGGCATAGCTCCTGCATGGTTATTTAAAAATTTAAAAGATTAAAGTTTCAGACTGTGAGTTAAAAAAACAGCTTTTAGGCATATATAGTCCCTAAAGCCTTCTCAAGAAAGGTTGGAGCCAGATGATCTTAAGGTCCTTTCTAACCCTAGTTATTCTATCATTATCGATGTTCTTCATCCTGACATCTTGAGTGACACACAAAATTTCAATTTGTACCTCCCAGCAGCAAGTATATATCATTACAAATATCTTAAAGATGTGCATAGTTTAAATCTGCAACACATTCAAGTATTACTACCACAGGCAAACATACATACAAATGTAGACTGTATAATATTAATTTAGAAAGATATAGGGTCTCTGAAGCTGCTTTCACATGGAGATCTAAAATGTTCTAGAATTATCATAGACATCTTCCAGTAACTGTTATTTTCTTTTACTCTTGATTGTACAGTAGAAACTCTGGCTTCTAAGCAAAGTTACCTTCAATTGAAAATACAATGCATAAGATGTAGCTTCTGAATTGTATGTGATTTGCGTGGTGAATTGTATCACCATGCAAATTTCATGTATTTCTAATGTATTTTTTGGCAATAACTCACAGTCTAAATTAGAAAAGTAGGGAAGTGGAGGTTATGAACGTTGTATGTAGGGGGTACATTTAAGACAAAATATGTAAAATACTACATTTCTACAAATATTTTTAAAACTACAATTTGGATCCAGAGCATATTGTTGAGACCAGACAGAGAAATAGAAAGCAATGGGAATTAAAAAAAATGCATGACAGAAAATGCTACAAACATTGTCACTAACCTGAATATCATTAACTATTTTGGGGAAAAGGAGCCATATAAGTAATATTTTTTCTAGCCATTTGGGTAGATCTGTTTAGGCTTTCACAACACTCTTTAGCACATCGTACTTCTAAAGCAATGCAATTCACTTACAGCAAGCTGCTGGATCCTCATCACTGCCATCAGAACAATCGGGGTGAGAGTCACAGGCTGATCCAAGCTCCGTGAACTGCCCATCAGTGCAGGTGAATTCTTTTAAGGAGCAGAAACCTGGTGGCTCAGACGGTGTAGTGTCCAAGAGCTGGATACTATGCAGACAGATGAAACCTGCTCTGCTCTGGAATGTTCCTTTAAATATAAGCTGTGATTGTTACAGTTAAAATTTTTGCATTAACAGACAACAGAGGAAGTCTGATTTTTATTTACATAAACCAGCAATGTTTCACGTGTTAAAAAGTGCTGCACACTTTCCATTACCAAACAATGACAAATTTCAAATCAGAAACTGAAATTTTTTATGACTACCTTAAGTTGAAACTTCTGAAAATTTTCAGCTAAAAAAGTTTGATGAATTCCAAGAATGAAGTTAATTGAAAGCCTATTTTAAAGAAAAAATCCTAATCTCAAAACCATTTAGCTAAAAAGTTACAATGCCCATGTGCCTTAGAAGAGTGACCTGTAATGTAACATCGTAAATACTCCATCTTCTGCTCTGACTTCTCCTCAGAACCTCATTTTGCAGGTGTCCAAGAGAAAATAGTTCAGTTACGTCACAGGTGAATAAGATGGGCTGGGTACTGTCCTTGGATACCAACTGGCACAGTACAGCTTAACAACTGATACCTGTTTCATCACTTAAGATAATATGGCTGCATCCAGTCTGTGTGGTGGGCTTAGTCCCTGTTTGTTGGTAATCCTTGAACTGTTCCAGGCACTGTCGGGGGTATGGCCAATTGGCTTGGGTGAAAATCTTGCTAGGGACCATGCTAATGTTTTAATAACATGGACTATCACGTGCCAATTTTGGGACTGTGGTTTATTTAACTGTTACCGACACAGACACAGAGATTCAAGGAGCATTTCTCTCTCTGACAGAGTTCCCTTGTGGTGACCAGATTTTGAACAAGATTATTTAGAAGAATGACGTTTCAAAAGAACAAGTTTTGCTCCTGGCCACCATGGAGCACGGGTGGGTCTCAAAGCAAGGAGAGTACGACACTTGTGCTCTCCAAGTTTTTTTTTACCTGAGCTAAAAGAGCAAGCAGGAGGAAGCAAGCTTGGATTCATCAGAAAAATGAAGACTGCAATGGAAGGAAGCACTGGGAGACAAGAGCAGGAGTTTAAGGCACAGATAAAATGGACTTGTGGGTTTTGACAAGCTGGGATGTGACCAGAGCACTGATTTCAGAAAGCAGTCATGTGCAAGAGGGAGAAAGCACATTGGAAGGAAAGCTGAACAAGAATATCAGACAAAACAGAAGGAAACCAGAACAGACATGATTTGGGACATAAGCAGAAGGGCTTAACACACTCCCCCAAAACCTGGGAATTAGGTTGGAGTGAAATCTTGAGAAGCATTAGTCTTTCTAAGAAACAGGAAAGATATGTCATTATCTTCCACTAGAAAGTTTCTTCTAAATGACAAAGCCTTCTAAAACTATCCATTCTCTCCCATTCCAAACAGCAGAATGCTATAGTGAACCCATTACACAGTCACATAGTTAAAGATAGTATGTCTCCTTCCCCAAGCACAGGTGATCCTTGCTGTCATTGTACATTGGTGAGTAATTCTTAGCAGCCTCTTATTTATGTATTTTTAGATACTATAGCCTTATTACACATTTGGTTGCCTATTCACACTTGTCCTTGTGGGAAAAAGAGAGACAAGCAACAACAAAAAGGTACTTCTAACCTACTAACGTGTTGAAATACGTTCATTCTAATATATGTCAAAACATCATTTCCTGCAGTAGGCTTAGTCTTTGTTCATTCACAGATTACCTTTCAGCTGATGCTTAAGGCAGTAAATTATGGTTATTTACTGAATTATGAAAAATAAATGTAAATGTAAAATTACATTAAAAAAAACTTATAAATGAACTTAAGAATTAAGTATTTGAACTTCACATTCTTCTCTATGCCTGAAAATTCAGGAGGAAGATATTGTCTCATCTGCTGGTTTACATCCTTCCACTGAAATCCTACAACCATCATTCATGTCATCTCACTTATTAGCATTTATATTTAAATGAGTTGGTAACACCTGAGATAGTCTCAAATGATGAGACATGGTGAGATTTGTTTCATTTTCTTGCATGTGATTAAAGACCAGCAGCTTCAACATGTGACATCTCTGTGGATGTTTTGCTGAGCTATAACTAGAGCTTTTACTCATATCAAAGCAGTGAAGAACAGCAAGACCTTCAGGATACATATCATTTTAACTAATGTTTAAGTTTTCTAGAAGCTTTACAAACAATAAAAATTGACCATGTGTCTTTTTCATTCATACCGTTAAGTTTTCTAGCCCTTTTGGTAGATGTATATCCACTTTGACCCATTCCTTCTTAATCATGATGTTGGTTTCCCACAAGACATGTTCTTCCTGTAAAATGTTGAATACAATGTTATAAAGCTAATTTTTGTTCCTCTGTAAATTACCAAGGCCATTTTCTGAAATCCATCTTTCCATATCGTAGCCAAACAGCCACATATACAAAGTTCACATATGTGGGGAAATAGAGATTCAAATATACATTTGCAGTCTTAACAATGAGCATTATGAGAGAGAGAAGAAACAAGACATGTTTACTGTGATTAAGCGTGCTAATAATATAATTATCAGGAGGTGTCTTAATAGAATTAAAATGAATTAATATGTAAATTAAGCCATATTATTGCTGAATTTAACAATGTGTTTCCATGGTGCTCTCTACATTAGTTTCTTTTTCATAAATAACTGCTTATATCATGTTGTGTTAGATTTATTTTCTTAGAACTGAATTTAGGGTCTGCCAAAATTACCCAATCAACTATGCTAAAAATCCCCCCTTCCCCGCTTTATTTTTTAATCTGTAAAGCATGCAAGCAGAGTACTACCTAACAAGTCCTAGTCATGTTCTGAGTTACCTCAATCCCCATTTTCCCTCCACCTCCTAAGGATAATAGTTAAGAGTACCAAACGTGGTAAGGCTCCCTTTAGGCAAGCAATCCAAGCCCTTTTGATTTGATATTCTAACAAAAACAGACCATACTTATTCTGCTTCCAGTCATGATCCTAATTGGAAGATGCTGAGGCCAGTACAAGGAAAAGTTATTATAGGTTATACATGCAAACAGACTTACCTTTATAAGTATCAATAGTGAGAACCCTTTTAGGGTGCTGTGCAAAGTATTGGGTTTACCTTTTCCACAAATAATATTACAGAATTAAAGGCAGTTCAGAAATAAAAAAAAAAAAAAGTGTGAACTAGGATAAGGAAAATGGAAAAACCTCTTGTATGAAGAGAAATTGAAAGTATAAAAACATTTTACCTTACAGGAGATGAATAAAAGGGGATATGTTAGGTATGTAAAATAGTATCAATAGTATAGACAAGGAAAGTTATCTTTGTTCCTGTCTTGTAATATAAAAATAAAAAGAGAAAAACTCTGTCTAATCCTTGATAGACCAAGAGATCTTAGTGAGCAGAACAACACTGATATGATTTGTGATGAGTAGCTAATTAGTTATACTCTTTTCCTAACAAGGCTTCAACTGTTACAACATATTAACAAAGCTGGAAGACTAAATCTCTATTGAATTTGTTTTCAAAGATCAGTTTTGGAAAACTGCGAGACAGGGCCAGGCACACTTAATTCTGCATAAAACTTGCTTCATTTAGCTAAATATGTCAGCTTCCAACGAAAATGCATTACTAGCCTACATTACCCACATATAAAACACAGAAAAGAGTGATGTACTAGGAACCATATTGCATGACAGGTTAAAACCATAGCCTGTGGTTAAGTGTCTGCTTTTAGAAATATTTTAGTTAATGTATTCTCCCCACGTACATATATGAACCCTCCAAACACAGTTGTGTACTTTGGGGGAACATTCTGCATTTGCTGTTTATTTGATTGGATGCATCTGGATACTACAATTTTGTTCACATTCAACTAAGAGCTTAGATACCCATCCCTATGACCCTCTTGCTCCCAAATTCATGTTAATAAAAACAGCTTGGCATAGTAAATTTGAGTTGTCTGTGCATGTGCCGGTATCCAAACCTTCTAGGGCATTTTTTTTACACTGTCAGCTGTAAATCATTTCAGATGCAACAACTTCTTAAACTAGTTATTGTTCCATGCAACAGACATTACATCTGCTTTCACACAGGTCTAGTAATAATATTATCTCCCTTCCTCACAATGTTTTCTCTGTGGTATCCTACATCCCGCTTGTCAGATTCTTCTGCCTCTTTAGTACAACTGCGATAACACTTCTAGCACATCGCTTGTGTCACTAGCTTTCTTTTGAAATATTGAATGTATTGCTTTTCCCATACTTTCCCTTGAGATTAATTTTGTTGATGCAGTGAAACAGTTACTTTAAATACCTTAACTCTATTCACCTTGGGATATATTGCTATCTATGAATAATTTTTTGTAAAGCTAAAATGGCCAAGAAATTTTTCTTTTTCCTTCCGTGGGTTTGTGTTGGGATTTTGTGGGGTTTTTTGGATGTTTTTTTGTTTGGGATTTTTTTGGCCTTTTTTTTATTTCTTACATTTTTCCAACTGCATTTGTCATTTTGTACCCACTTCTCTCATTTCAGAAAGTAATTTAGAGCAAAATCTTATTTGTTTGCCCACAATGATTAATGGGTCACCTTTAACTTCTGCAGAGAAGTGTACTTGCATGCTTCTTGCAAGTGTTGCTGAACACTTACAGAAATTTTAGTGCATTAGGGTACAAATATGCTTGTACATATAAACATCAGTTGAAATTATTTTTATTAATTTCCATCTGTTTTGTAAGTCATACTAGATGTAAAGATTAAGAAGGAAGACAAAAGGAAGAACTATGAGCCCATTATTTAATGGGAGCAATGACCAAGTAAAGAACGGCAAATGAGTGAAGTCAACATTAACTTCTTCTGTTTCAGTTTTTACAGAAAAATCTAAAATTTATCAGAAAGTTATTAGACAGTTAATATGGTTAATATTTTATGTTCTTCAGACAGCTAATATTGCCAAATGCAAATGCAAGCACAGGCTGGAATAGAATAACGATATTACAAATATTTATAAGCCAGAAGTACTGAAACTGGAAGAGAATCAGGAAATTACTACATAAGTAATATCCCATTATCAACAACTAACTCTGGGAACCTGAGGAGAATCTGTGGGAAACTGGAGAAAAGGGAGAACAAAGGATATATATTACAGTTAAGGCAAAAATACAGACCATGCAATTATAAACAACCAATTATAAACGTCTAAGACACTGGAACAGATTGCTAACAATAATCTTGAAAGCAGCTAGAGAATTAGAAAGCGAGAAACCTACATTAGCTGTAATTCAACCAGTGTAATTTTTTATTTAATAATTGTAAACAGACTTAAAGTAGAAAGTACATTACAAAGGCTTTTAACATAATCCCATGGGGCATTCTTTAAGCAGATTGAGGAGATCTGGTACAAATGGAATTACTGTAAAATGGGTATACAAATACGTGTGTAACCTTTTTTAAAAGAGGAACTGTTAATAAAAAACAATTATGACAGGGTTTTGTATAGGTCTGTTTCAGGGCCTGACATAGTTATAGTGCTGACTGACTGTTTGGATAATAGAATGAAAAATAAAATTTAGAAAAACATGGACAACACAAAACTGGGAGGATTTACAAGCACTCTGAAGGACATCATTAGAATTTAGAATCATTTCAGTATACATGAATCAGTTTCAAACCAATAACACAAAGTTAAAAGACATATGAATCACAGTTAGGAAGGGAAAACAAATGATCAAATGCAGTAGCATCGAAGGAAGAGTGACTTTACCAAACGAGCAATGAAACAGGAAAAGCTGCAAGTTACCATGGACTGCAAGTTAACAACAGGTTGCTGTTGATGAAAAACAGTCCATTTTTCCTATCCTTCTTCATACCCAAGAGCAATTTTAATTTCCTGTCTTCCAGCTGATGTCATAATGTCTGTATTAGAAAATATGTTCACTTCACCTTTGACCTCTCTGTTGAAAAGATGAGGAAGGTTAGGGATACATTTGCAATGATTGAGTTGCTTGTCCTCTAAGAACAGGACTGAAACTGTACATTAAATGTAATCCAGTCTCTGTGTCAGGCCTGTTGGTGGTGGGACATAGCAAGAGTTATTTGGAGATAAGAGATTCTGCCCAATAAAAATAATAAAGGCAGTGCAGAGAATGCATGGTACTAGGCCATGCAACTGAGAGGTTATTTTGAATGACAGCCTCCAGAACAGCAGCTCTGTTGTCTTCCAGGGTCAGAAGGGTTTTGGTTTTGAAGCTAGCAGCAGAAGCTTATGTTTCTGAAGGTTCTTTTGGCAAATTTTGCAGTATGAGTAATTCATATCAGCTTTAAATAAGTCTATGTGCAATAAATATGCTTCTGACTGAAGGAGAAATTCAATAATTAAAACATCAAAGGACTAAGAGAAGGTGTGGAAACACAGCTGACTGAACTGACGTAATAACTGTCAAAAACGTTGTTCTAATGCATATGTAAGGAACCGTTTATCAATTAATCCAATTTGGGGTCCCAATTCTATGGGAACTCAAATGCCAGTGTTCTCATGGTTTTGGCTCACATATTTTGCTCTATTTTAAGGAAAAGAATACTCTTAAATCAGGTCCATTGATGCAACTTAAGTGAACCATTGAGATCAGTATTTCTATTCTGTCTCAAGATTGCCATGGGTGTCACACCTGAGAATTTACTGGCAAGTACTATGGCACAAATCTCTATGCCATCTGACCAAAACACTGATTATGTTACAATTCCCTGATACAGTAATGGGTCGTAGAAAAATACAACTATTCCCTTTCATAAATGAAAAAAGATCAAGAGCCTGGAGTTGTTTTTATGAATAATTGAAGACACAGGAAGAAAGAAATAAGGTATTTCCATTACCTGGTCCTATTTTTAAACCCATGATAAGTATTACACTTAGGCTTGTTAGTGTCTTATCTTTGTGAATGAAGTGGATCTGTCTTTGTAAATACTTCTGTTGTTGGGTGATAATAATTCAACTCCAACATCAAGATGAGAGATCCATTAACTTAATGAGACTGGCTGTATTGTTCTTCCTTTCATTAAGTAGTGGTACAATAGCATCAATATTAAACAATACTTTCAAAAGAGAACATTCTAACAGCAGAAAGCCTCCACAAGACAAGGGAGGTAAGAAAGATGGAAATAGTAATCACTGCTCAACTGACACCTGTTTCAGTTTGACATGGCTATTTTATTTATTAATAGTCAGAAGAAGAATAAAATTACTGCTCTAAAACTTGAGCAAAGCAAATCTAGTGGCTAACAAGAACTTTCCAGACATCCTGAGACAACATTCCTTTTTGTCTCCATAGAGAAAAGCACTTATTTTCCCATTTCCAGAATGGTAAGAGGGCTAGAAAAGCTTACTATAGATTTTTTTTACACTCTGAAATCCCCAAATTATTTAATTCTGTTATAGCTGGGGTTTCTCCTTGAAGTGTTATTGCAGAACATTTACCCATCAAATTAGTTAATAGCTGAGATGGCACATACCCAGGTTTTATAATTGCATAGATGAATGGAATAATACCAAGTTACTGTTTTGAACAAACTAACTCAAGGGGCAGGCACAACCTAGAAGGCGTATTTCCTTGCATTTTGGCTGGTAACACCTGGGCTGCTGTATCTTTACTCTTTGAAAATGCACACATTATTCTTCTTACCTGATTACTAAACAGTACTGCCTTGAGAACACTGTTATCTGCCATGGAGTAATGAAACTGAAAATGGCAATTCTTGCTGAAGCAATGACACATGGAGCTGTTAAGATAAGTGCTTTTATATAGTGTCTTGTCATTGGCTTCCAACCACTCAAAATGTCCTGAAAAATATTAAAAAAACCAAAAAACAAAAAACAATGAAGTGCAAGTTTTTGGCTGGTTTTTTGGTTTGCTTTTTTTTTTTTTTAAAACAAAGCTTCCCCCCAGACACACCCTCCCCTTAGTCTATGAAAATAAGGACCGAGTTCCTGCAACTGAACCATGGACCCATCCAGATAATGATGAAATTTGATTATCATGCTGATGATGTGACTTGGATGTTATGTAGGTGTTCCTTATTAACAAGATAGATATGTATCTTCGACTCATAGACAGCCCCAGCAACCAAGAACTGCACCAGCTGATAGTATCATGAAGTTGTTACTTTGCACGTTAAAAGCATAAGGAGTCCACATTCAGCTCAGCTTCCTGACATTTACAACCATTCAATACCTGATCACAAATATATTTAGAAACTGGGCTTTCTTCCTTCTTCCACTATGGTTTCCAGAAAGCATGCTTGAAAGTATGATTTTTATGGTAATATTTCTGTAGACTCTTAAAATAAAATTAAAAAATAAATAAATAAATGGTGGCAGGGGTAAGTATTTTGCTTTACTGCTACAGGAGGCAGTAACATCTCCACCGTGTAATCAAGGTCTTCTCAGCCAGAATTTCCTCAAAATGTTGAAAGCATGCTGTCTTTCTATCTGAAGCAGAAAAGCAATTTGTGCTCTTCTTGATCTACTGCCCCTTGTAAAATCATTCCTACAGAGACGTAAAAAGAGTACTCCATCCTTTCAACAGTGTCTTTAATTTGTCAGAAATAAAAAGGCTAAATAGTTTTCACCAAACATATCAGGTTTCTCTCCCTACCCAAGTCACTGAATATTTTGCTGCTTCTGAAGTAGCTATTAAATTAATAAACAAGGACTGATTAAAGGTCTTAAGTGTGCTGTTTCTGTGTTCATGTCTCTAAATGCAACTTCTCTAATGCAGATTTTACAATTTATTTCAAGTGACATTTCACAAAGAAAGCATTTTTATAAGGGACCACACTCTTCTCCTTTTATTGTCAATTTAATCTTTGTGTTATGCAATGTTTTACAGTGAAATATGTGGTTGCAATTTCATTGGAATTAGGTTTATAATTTCATGCCACAACTACTAACATGGATATAAAGAAACATTATAGATTTAACCCAGCATTCTCTTTGACAGAGATCAAAAAGACATCTACACTTCTACGACTACTATCTTGTGCAGAAGAGAAATGAACATCAACATTAAAATTTACACTATGGGTTCTTTGTCTACTTTTAGAATCCTTTGTTGCCATTATAAAACTGACCATTTTTATTTTGAGGACTTAATAGTAATTAACATTCTTTTCCCTCTCTCAGTTTAAATTCCTGAATTCTTAAAAAAAGAGCAAAGGGGAGTTGACAAGGGTTTTAAATATGACAGCAAGTGAATAGCACTAGATAAGCAAAAGTTCTATGAAACAACAGAAGAGCATGTGTCCACAAGGGATACTGACAGTTCTCCAAGAAATATGTTTTATGCAAGCATTATGAATGCTTCTGAGACAAATTAGAGTCTTAATTTCTAAAAGTAGGCCTCAGAAATTCCTGTCCTGAAAATACTGGGGGGTTTATTATTATTTTTTTCCCCTCATGTCTATACCCTGTAAAAGTAGAATCATACTGATTTAACTGGACAAGCAATATCCTATGCTAAAGTACTTATTTGCCCTCTTCCAGAGAATTTTTTAAAATTTCTAAATATTAGCTGTATTAGGAACCGTTTTACAAACTTTGTAGCTCTTCTCTAAGGTCTGAATTTCCTTCAGTTCAGTACACTGCATACCATATTACTGTGTTCATGCACTGATCATTTTATGTCCATTTCTCTTGAATTTTCACTGCTTCCTGCTCCTGAACTGTCAAACTTCCCCACGTTTTTAGAAGTAGAACAGGAATCCCAGAAAAACCAGTAAATTCCTGTCTATCTCAAAGCCTGTGTTTTTCTGACTGGCTCCATCTTAATAATTTTCTGACTCACATATTTTGTCACTCATTCTGTTTTAATCTATATTTTTTTATTTCACAAACTACACAACTTTGAATCTATGCTACTAGTTTTAGAGTAAGCACTGAGCCTTCAATTAAAAGTGGGACCTTTCTTTTTCTGGCAAGTTCTCTTCCCCAGCAGAGAACCATTTAGTCTCTGAACCAATTCCCTGCAACTTTCCCACTCAACCATTCTGAGGAAAGAGGTCAAATCTGAACTGCCTCTGTTTTACTCTTCAAAGGTGAATTTTCATGAACTTAGAAGTCACGGATGAAATCTTGGGGGGAAATAGAAAGGAAAAAGAGTAATGTAATAGGATCACATAATTATTTGGGTGGGTTTTCATGTTAAAAGAGGGATTTTTATCATTGGTTATCCAAAATGTTGGTTTTAAAAGCATGGCACTTCCTTTAATATATTTTTTCATCTCATAACCTTTCTTTTTATTATGCAGAGATTTTGTTTCATTAGTTTCTCATTAAAGAAGCGTTACCCTAGATGTAAGAAACTAGATTAATCCAATTTAAGAATGAACTATGGAAACTACATAGCATGCTGGAAATATCAATAAACAAAACAGCAACAACAACAAAGTATTTTCTGAACAATATTGCAGAGGAATATAACATCTCTGTAAAAACTTTTAACACTAGAGAAACTAGGGGGAAAAGTTATAGAGGAAGTGCCTGTAGTACAATACTAGAGAAAAGAAGCAATAAAAGTACAAAGTTTGGCAAGGACAGAAAGTATTAAATTTAAGAATACCAGGAAAAGAGGATTATTCAAAGCCTATAAGCAATCCTTTCTTTATAAATACTTTTGTCTAGACCCCTGCTTTATAATTTAGTTTCTTACCACTCTTCTATTTATAGTAACGAAAGCTTTGATCAAAATCAGAAACTAAACCTTAGTCAAGCTCTATTTGCATTGCAAGTTTGAGCCTCCAAGCATAGCATTTTTGCAGTTTGCATGTCATTTCTTTAGTTTTCAGAATTTTAGTTATTATTCAACCTCTTCAGTTATGCCTCAACAAATCTACATGAATAGAAATACTGAACGTATTGAGAGGTGAGTAATCATAGTTCAGATTTTTCAATACTTTCTAATGTTAATGATTAATCAAATTCCGTATTGTTTTGACACTTATATAATCTCACACTATCTTTTTTTGCTTTATGACATGGAAGCACAAAGAATGTTCCCAAGCAGTTGTTTGTGTTATACGTTCAGCTTACTCAGCTAACTGCGATTATTTATACAATAATGCCCAAGCACCTATACAACAGATACTTTAAAATCTGTTCCATTTCAACAGACATTGCTTGTGACCTGGTCCTCTAAAAGCCACTTACAGAATTCCAGTATCTTTTCTGTTAGCACAGTATTGTCAGAAAAGGTAAATCTATATTCATTACTAGTCCTTGAAATATGGTGTTAAGGTATGCCACTGATACAACAAGCTTTAAGGAGGCATCAAATGAGAAGTTTCATTTTTGTTAGATATCCCAGTAGAAATTGAAAGGTGGTATGTCTTTTTTTTTTTGTTTGCTTTTTAAGATGAGAAAAAAAAAAGTTTTACTGGTCTATATGCTCCCTGTCATACGTAAGTGTTAACATGTAAAAATTCATCTTAACAGTGTATACACTTAATCACTTTTGCTTGTTATTCCATTATGATTTGACTTCTAATTATTAGTGTGTGTTGAAATGCATACCAAAATGTATTTTAAAAATCTTTCTAAAATGAAAACAATATCTAAGGATTCACTCTGTTGCTATCAATAACATGTACTCCACTTCTGTGGGCTCAAAGTTCAGGCAGTAATTGCCATGCTATCAGTTTTTCAAAGATACATCACAAATTATACTATTGCGACTAGTGCTACTTAACCCCTTTGAAGGCAGTGTCAGTAGACAAGCCAAACACTTAGCTGGCAAGGAGATTCCATTTCTCACTACAACACTTAGTTTTCTGAAAGCTTAATGGATATAAAAGTCTTTCTTACAAACCTATAGACAAGCACTACACAATAACTTCAAAAACAAGTG